CACACAAAGTGCTACTTCAACCTTTTATACTCTGGCATGGCGTTCCATTATGTGGTATACTCTAATTTTTCGTGACCAGCTCTGATGGACCTTTGTGTCCAGTCTTTTGATTATAAACTGCTGCAGTGAACATCTTCATGCATCTATCTATGTATCTGTGCAGTAATAGCTATAGGGTAAATTCCCAGAAGTGGAGTTCTTGGGTCAAAAGGTCTGTGCGTTTTAGATTTTGATAGATGCTGTCAAATTTCTCTCCATTGAGGTTGCACTGAAACATTACAGCGTTGTGCTACCTGAACGCTGGAGCCAGGGTCCCCCCACCCTGACAGTGCCCCACTGGGCCTTCTATCACCAGAAAGCTCCTGGTGCCATTTCTTGACATCCCCTCTTGCTTCTGCCTCCCCATTCTTAACTTCCAGAAACAATAAAGACTGTTGAAAAACTTAGTCTTCTTGGGCATTTTAAAATAACTTCCCTTGGGTATAACCATTATCAAAAAGGTTTGGTTCAATGAATGTCTTATGAAAAATCTAACTGTACTTTAATTTAGATTAGATGGGGGAAAGATAGTGTGATAGTTTCCTAAGAACATACTCTTAAATATTTCTTTTAGAGATAGCCAGATCTTTGGGATGGTTTTCAGTTCATGTGTTTGAGTCACCTGGATCTCTTCCATGGCCAAATTCTTGTAGTAAGATATGCATTACAACTCAGGCAGTAATCAGACCAAGTTCATTGTTCTGTCTCTGAAAATGCCAGTAGAGTGCCTGCTGGTCTCCTTGCAACTCCACATAGAGATTAAATTCATATTTAATGAAAGAAGGCAAAATCCTTTTTTTTTTTTTGAGCTTAGTGGCTATTTACCAAAAATATGATCTATTATAATCCTAATAACTTGCAATTTTGTTTTGGAACATAATAGAAAAGGCAAGTGTTGTCATCTTGTAAGTGAATTCTTTACTGCTAAGCTAACAGGGAGTGGGGCAATTTTGAAGACAGGAACAAATTTAATTTAAAAAAACTGGTTTAGCTTCACATCAAAATTAGAACAAGTAATCTCTACATTTCTTTTAGTTGTCACATTTGGTTTCCTTCAATGAACAGCATTTTTCCTACAGTTAAGCAACACATTGAAATATTTTCACACTTCAGGGTATGGAAAATGTGTACTCCTAAGACAGTATTTGTATAATAAACACAAATTTAAAATATGCTCTAAAAATTGTGGCTGTAGTTTTACTATAGGGATAACTATGACCATGACCAAATATGGGATACAATAAACATTTCACTCCAAAAGTTAACATTCCCGAAGAGATGGATATGGTTAAAATATATGTTAGATTGAACCACAAGCCCAGATAAGCTGCTGATTGTCTAATGTCACAGAAGTCAGTATGAAGTTGAAGCTCAAAAGCTGTTCTGCTAAATCCCAGTTCATCCTTACCAGGACATTTTTCTCAGGAACTCAGTGCAAAAGGGAGACTCTATAAAGTATGTACCTAACAAAGCATGTCAGCGGCTCGAATAGAGCAAACCAGTCCAGATCTGAGAATTCTAAGAAATAAATGAAGTTGAGCATTTACTGCCAACAACCCTATCACTGGGGCCAGGGAAAACTGGAGCCGTACAGCTGGCGAGGGGAGGAGCCTGCAGCCAGAGAAGGCGATGGAACGCACCCAGGTTTGATTATTTATGGTGTGCTGATGAAGAGACAACTTTCCATATGAGGAACAGCTTAACAGAGGAACAGTCAAGCTAAACTAGGAAGAGGTCCAAGTGAGAGAGCAACAAAAGGGGACATGAATAAAAATGACAGGTAATAAAACAATACAAATCTAAAATGCTGTAACTTTCAGAAATAATTTAGGGCCAAAAGAAAAGAAAAAAATCTAGTTTTGCTGGCATTGGGACAATTTTCCAAGAAGCGAAAGACATTAAGCAGAATGAATGTGCTGAGTTTAAGACAGAATTTGCCTCAGTGTCTTTCTAGCTACAAGTTTGGTTGCCTCTAAGGCTGGTTTATTCATAAAAAGGAAAGTGGCAATTTTTAGCTGACGTATCCATTATTTTCAACAAATACGTGCTGTGTACTATTCCATGTCAGGCACTGGACCCTCCGGGGCTCTGTGCTGAACCTCTGTTCACAGTCTCTGCCCTCAAGAGGCTTGTAGTCCAGTGTAGGAATCAGAAAGTTCACCGTCAGCGCCTGGACAGTGGGGTGACCGCTAAGACCACAGCAGAGCAGGGGCTGGGGAAGGGCCGGGGGTGGTTGCCGGGAGGAGGTACTGCCCAGGCTGAGACCTGAGGAATATAAGCCCCAAAGTGGAGACTGGAAGTGAAAGAATTTAGTGCATTTTGCTTTCTATATTGATTAAATAGACACTTAGCAAATCTCTGTGCAATCCAATCCCGGTTTTGTTAGTTAAAAATTAAAATACACTTTGTATGAAAAGATGCAAATTTTTGTGGTTCTCGGTAGAGTTTTCACCCTTGAATTCTGTCGTCAAGTCTACCCGAGCTGTTCTGCATCATCTTTATATGGGTATAACACACCTCTTCTTCCAAGTCTGGCCAAAAGCATGATGAATACAGCCACTGGTATTACACGGGTACTACATATGGCCCAACACGCCAGACATGTAACGTCTTTTTGACTCTTCACAATGATGCCTTGAGGTAGGACCATTTGCACTCTTATGGGAACGGAGGTTAGAGAGGGGACTCTCTTGAGGTCACAAAAAGTATTAGGGCACTTCATCTACACCACATGGTCTCTGGGTTAAGTATACAGGTCAGGACTGTGCCAGTAACACTTCTACACACAAGGAAGGCTCTGAGCTGTTCCCAAAGTTACTTTAGCTACCTTACTCCCTCGTCTTCCTACCTCCCTCACAGTATTCCCTCCTCCCACCATGCTCACTGAAGTACTAGTAAGGAGCAGAAATGCTGTATCCTGGGTGGCATTGGGGCTGTTCCCACTGTAGTGCGGGGGAGTGTTTCCAGAGGCTGAGCACTGTGACGCCGTCTCAGCAATCAACCCACGAGCATGGCACCCAGTGAGGACCCTATGCACCCCAAGCTTCCTTCTCCCTCAGATGTATCTTTAAAGGTGAGTGTTGCATTGCCCCACCTCCACGGGTCAGCACACAGATGAGCTGCCCTAATTTAGCTGGGACAGTGGGGCTGCTGCTCTGAAATGCACTCTGGAAGGGGATCCAGACAGACACTTACTCCCGAGCCAAGCATGTGTTCTCCCTACCTTCGCTCTCTTCCCCGCTCTTACCTGTATTTCTTCCCAGAGACTGCCTATGCTCTGGCCATAAGAATATGAGGTTAAACACGCCACAGGCTGGCGCTCCGCAATCCAGGACTTCAGACTTGTCATAAGTGCTGAGTGGACGCCTTATGTCCTCACACCTTCGTCTCCACACATACTCCAGACCCACTACTCTGCCTGTCACCAGTATTTCCAAAATACTCTTCAGCATCTGAGGACTGGGCAGTCTATAAATTATTTCATAGTTTGAATTAAAATTTCATGGTTAGAACTCATTTGGTATTGGTAATGTCTTCAAGACCAACCTTCCAGAACAAAAACTAGGAACTGCATTAAATGGTAAAGCTGTTTCATTACTAACCCAGAAAGTTCTAAAACTATCAAACAGTGGAGATCTGATATTGTCTTTATGAAACTGGCTGATGAATTGATAAATCATGGCACAATCTGTCAGAGATTTCCAACCCCACCCTCTTATTCTCAAATTTACAAAACTATTTGCAAAAAGGCACAGATTAAGTTTTCCCTTTTTATACTGTTTGAGGCAAATTGTGCCTATGAATACTTGCTTTCAAAACTAGACATTGAAACAGTTTAGGCTCACTAGCTTATCAATCAGAATTTAGTTCTGTTTTTGGTAACTTCCTTTAGCACAGCACAATGCTATGAGATGCCTGGGCCTGCAGCAAACGGGTGGGCCGCATGCACGGAGGCTTCATCGCAGTCCGAGATTGCAGCAGGTGGGTGCTCAAACTCCCCCTTCTAAGAAATGATTCTGCAGCCAGGATGGCCAAGAGCCTCAAATGGCAGCTTTACTGATTCAAGGTGAGTTCCCAGGAATTTAAGAGGCAATCATTTCCTCTTGACTGTCAAAGAGAAGCTGGGCTTGAAAGGCACAGTTGCATCCAAACTTGATCGGCTGGCAACAGCCCTCTGAAGTACTCAGGAGAGAGGAAAGCAGCTGAGACACTTACACATCTGGACTGATCTAGTTCACTTTCCAGGTTGTAAATTTTCTGGCCTCTAAGACTATTTGAAAATAATGTTTTACCAAGAAGGCAGATTTTTTTTTATTAGCTGAAGTACTAATTTTTTTTTTATTATTTTGATATGGAACACTATAGCCATAAGACTTGCCAACACCTAATCTTCAAGGTAATGCACATTTAAGAAAACAGCAAAATTACAAAAAAAACCCCACCTAAGTCCTGAAAACATGGATTTTAAATTACTGTAGATGATAATCTTATTAAAATACTACTCTACAGCACATTCAAATAACCACAGTATTTAATTAATATCAACATTTACCATCTAACTTAACACTAAGGTTGAGACTAAAATGGTTTTGCCACCTGGATATTTTTCACATTTGTTGATCTACAAAAGCAGAAAACATCAGAACAAAAGGAAACACACACACACACATTTTTACTGAAAACTATATTTGAAGAACAGCCTAGAGTCCTTTACATTTCACTCTCAAATTCTGGTCTTTTTATTTATTCTGAAATAACGTCTAAATTATTAAGAGTCAATACACAGAATTTTAAAATAAGACTGCATATGGCTAGAAAAATATGTATCGCGAACATATATTTTATCTTGTAAGAAAATAAAACTATGCACAAAAGTCACTTCTGTTCATTAATGGTGATCCTAACTAGTTTGATCTTTCTAATTAAGCACCACCATAAAGCACAAAACTCTCACTAAGCTTGTCTTGGTGTCTCATTTTTCAGTTTCACTGGAAAGTTCAATCACTCCCTGGTTAGAGAATGTGTTTAAAATAGTCCACAGTTTGGAAGGGTCCTCACAGTTATGCTGGCGTTCCCAGTGGAGGAGGAGGTCCTCTTTCCTTCCCAGCATCTGTGCACACAGGAGGCAGTTAAAGCCGGAATGGGACCACAGGAGAACAGTGTGGAGGCCGGGACCCTCGGGGTCCTGGGGGCTTTCCCTGGGCTCACTGGTTCCTGGCTGGGCTCCTTCGTTTTTCACGAGTATTTCCACACTGCTCTGATGATGAAGGTAGAGCTGCCTTTTTAATCTAGGGAGTGCATGTAACTCCTCCTCAGAGGGACAATGCTTTGCTAGCTTTCTTCTTTCGGGATGCCGTTTCCAGTCAGGAGTGGAGTGTTTAACCAGTGCTTTCTGAGCGACCTTGCTTCCCGTTAAGATCCCCTCTTGTAGCCTACCCTGAATTTCCTCTCCGTGAACATAAAGTAAATGAAACTTTATTTCAGCAAAAGACTGAGCAGTGATCTGACAACGGCCACATTTGATTTGTAATTTGACTTCATCTGCCTGGTTTAGAAGGTAGTCTTCTTCCAGGCATGACTTATTTTCCCTGAAAAGGGCACAAATAGTGTATGTAAGATTTCATGGAAAAACATAATTGGAACTTATTTGTTCAGCTCTTAGTCTTCAGGTATCTAAACACACTCCTGATGACAAGTACTAAGGATGGCGTGGACAGAGAGAGCCTGGGAAGACCTTCAGCAAAGGCCACAGTGAACACTATCACTTCTGCTTGGGGCCATACATTTCTTAAGCTACCAGGGTCCATTTGGTAAAAGAGTCTTTACCTTTATGCACCTCCCCCAGGTGAGCTAACTCACCTCAGTTCCCACATGGACAGGTGTAATCAACATGGAAAATCAGGTAATACCAAATGCAGCACTATAGGAACACACTTGGTTCAGGCGAAGTAACTGTCCCATAACCCACTGTGGCTCTCCCTAACCTTGAGCACAGAATGTAATATGGACATGATACCTAAAATCCAAAATCTAACTGTAAGAAAACAAGTAAGAAGTGAGGTTTCTTTGTCCATTAGCGGAAAGTACAGAAATCTGAAAGAGGACAGAAATGCCTAAGAAAAAGAGAGATATTATAGAATAGCAAGGAAGAAACAGGATAGGCATCCCTTATTTTTATCAGGTATGACAGAGTAAGCCAAAATTGAATGGAAGGTATTTAGAGTAATTGGGACAGTTATGAACAACGAAGTGCGGAGCATCTGAAGCGTTGCAAAAGGTTTGCTTCTTCCGGTGCTGATGAGAACTGATGGCGTGAAATGCCCTCAAGTCACCTCAGTGGGAAGTGGATACACAGCCCAGACTGAGGGTGCTTCCTTGGTGAATTACTGCTTAATGCCTGTCTGCCAGGCTTTCAAATTGCTTAGCTTATTTGTTTATAATGTTAGGAAGCAGTACCCGCAAAGAGGAATGACAAAGGACAAAGTTAACCAAACCTGATGGGAAAAACAGGGCAAATGCAGAGCGTGAGGTCTGGGAGCTTGAGGGTGGGTCCACAAAGCCGGCCCACTCTGAGTCCCCACCATGGGTCATGCCATGTTCTGGGGCTAATGATGCTATTAAGATACAAATTCGGTGGACATGATGTTTTGGGGGAAATTAGTGTAAAGACTATCAGGACTACATATGATAATTTACTATTTCATTTTCAGAAGCAAAAATAATCTTGTGTCACCCAGTTGTCCCCAGCATAACTCAAACCGGCATTTATGCTTTGGCTTACACAGGTTAGTGTCAGTAAAAATGATGACTGATCAGAAATCCAAGAGGAATGAGATCATTCTTCACAAAATAGGAGGACTAGGAGCTACCTTACGAATCTTAATCCAAAAAATGTTTTTACAAACTCTTCTTTCTGAATATGAAATCCTACCCTCTCCACCAAATCAAAACAGACTTTCTTGCCAGGCTTCCACTCCACTAGCACTCACCTCTCCAGCGAGCCTTCCGTCCCTCGCACACTAGTGTCTCTGTTCTTTGGCATGTCTCCTGGCTGCGCTTCACTGGGGGCAGGCTCGGTGCTGATCACAACCCTATGCACTTCTTTCAGATGGCCAAAATAGACTCGGATGTGACCGAACACTTTTGCACAAAACTCACAGCACACGAGTTTCTTCAGACGGTTCTCTCCATGGTGAAGTTTCATGTGTGTGCTGAGGCTGCCAGAACGTACGTAGGCCTTGCGACAAATCCGACAACTGTAAGGCCGTCTGTTGGTGTGTGTGTTCATGTGGTCTCGAAGGTGCTGTTTGAACTGGAAGTGGTGGTTACAGACGTGACATCTGTGCCAAGGCCTCTTAATGCCAGAGAATCCATTTCTGAACGCGGAACTGGGCTTAGGGGAAGGGCTGCTGTTCTGCTTAGGGCCAAGACATTTAGGAGTGAGTGAATTATTTAATAGGATGTCCTGTCCTAGGCCCCCGAGCATTTGAGATTGCACTGCAGCTGCAGGAGACGCCAGGGGAGCCAAGGTGGGTATGACAATCACAGGTTTGGGCATGATGCTACGGTATTTTTTCACAGCCCCAGGTTTTTGGTCTCTGGATTCTTGGGAATCGGTTTTTATTCTTTCTTTACCATCTCTATACTTGTTAATGATGCATTTTCTCCTTTTTCCCTGAAGTGCCAAAATTTCATCTGGTGCTTTTCGTTTTCTTCCACTTCTCTTTGCTGTCCCGCTGTTCAGTTTTGTTCTGTGGCTGAGATCTAGCTTGGTGGTTGTACAAAAGGCATTTTCACAGGGGCTCTGCTGTGACACCTGTGGAACAGGCATCTTGCTGGCCACTTTGGTGGCCGCATCGAAGCCTTCTGTGATGGTGGATGTCTTATCACAGTCTGCCCCGGGCCCCAGTCGAGAGAAACCTGCAGAGTTAGCACTTGACTCCACGTCGTAAGCCTCCGCGGTTTTCACTCTTGGGTAGGGTAAGATTGGCACTTTCCCTGTGGGGACTGCGGTGGTCAACTGGACTGCACTGCCAGAAACACCTGGGGGTGACTTGGTCGTGGCTTTTGCAGGGTCAATTTGTTCTTCGAGGTTTTCACTGGTGACGGCAGCAGGTTTGCTGGCTGTGCTCTTGCTTGCAGAGTTTGCTTTCCCTGAACTCTCTGGGAGGCCCTGCTTGGCAGAGGGCCCCTCTGGGGTGGGTGAGGTTGGGGTGGCAGCAGCGTTCAGATGACCACAGCTGTTGGTCCCTGGAGGCCTCGAGTCCCCATGGTCACAGCCATTGGTCAGTGTAGCCGTGCTGATGCTGGCTGGGGCTGGCTCTAGTGATGGCACTTGTTCAAAGGGATTGGGTTTGCGCGGGAGCTCAGGGTGGTCAGGTGAGGACAGGGACATCTGAGGACACACTTGGGTTTGGGCAGGAGGTTTGCTACAGCCACTCTCAGGAGGGCTCAGGAAAGGTTTCTTTCTTGATTCTTTGTTATTTCTTAGGGGTTGATATCGAGGAATAGGCAATTTAAGGTTTTCAGGCAGGGGCATTCTGGGTTTCTGAATTGACTGAGCTGAGGCAACATTTGGCAAAGCGACAAGAGAAAATGCCCCCTCTTGGCCAGCAACCTGCATCAGAGCATAGTTCTGGGTGGACATCCCCAGTGGCTTGGAGTTGATGGAGAGTCCCAGAGTCACCTGATCAGAGAGTGATGGTAAATGACATGGCAGCATTCTGGATGTTAGGACTTTGGGCACAATTTTCGGTGCAATGGTCCTAAACTGACTCTTACTCTTCAAACATTTCCCACTTTGTATTTTTCCAGAAGGAATGTTTGATTCACCTGCAAAGATAATACAACATAAAAAAATCACTGTAGAGTAACTGTCATGTTTTGGAGAATTCAAATAAGGACCTTATTTATTCTACCTAGAACAGATCCCTTGGCCTACCCCTACCCTTCTTGGCAAACTTAGGTGTCCGTCCAGACGAGCTTGAAGGTCAATTTCTGCCCACCTTCCCCAAGGATTACTATTCTCCTCTATGGTTCCATAGCCCTTGTTATAATATTTACCATTTTCTACAATAATTCAGGTATTTATGTGTGTCTCCGCTACTAAACACAGCTTCTTGAGAGTGAGGACTCTGTCCTTCTCATCCTGTACCCCACAAGCCCTTCCTCTCCACTTCTGTGATTCTGACTCATTGTCACAGGCCAGGGAAACCCCATCTTTCCTGATCTCCTGAGCTGCAAAGTCTTTCCTCTGGTATGTTCTGCTGTATATTTTATTTACTTTATATATATATGTCCTGCTTTCCCTATGAAACTCAAGTTTTGTGATGGTAAAGTCTATATTTAATTCATCTTGGTATTTCCCACTATATCCTTGGTATGAAACAAATGTTTCTTGTATCGGACTCCTTTTTCACTCAGTTTCAGGATACACCATTTGACCCACTGGCAGTGCAATTTGTTTTGCACAGTGGATGAATTCCAGACTGAATGCGAGCTTTGTTGCTGTTTCCCCATGTGACTTGCGAACTTCTCCTCACACCTTTCGAACTGTTTATGTGTACTTCTGCAATTACATCACCAGTATCAAAAAGCTGATGTGGCACCTTTAAAAAATTTGAACAAAACCAAAAAGATACCAAATGATAAGTAAAGATACAAAGACAACATTAAAAATATGTGAATCACATAAAGAGCACTTTCTAGGGTACTAATAGGAACAATTCTAACTGACAGAATAATAATACTTCATTCTTGGATTTATTAGCCTGACCTAAGACCAATTACCACTACCTTAAGAGAACAATTAGGGAAACATTTTCGTGCCCTGTTTCTAAGGACTGAATCGTCTATTTTATTCCCTGAGGCCTCCAGGTCACAAGGCCTGGCTGTAGAAAAGTTTCTCATTTCTAAGTATCTCATATTAATCAAACCTCACTTCAACTCACATTTACTAGGCACCTACATTATTCCAGGGATTGGCTGTTGCAAGCCCATAATCCCTGTTCTGAAACTTTTGGGGCAAGATGTGTTTTGAAATTAATACTTTCAAATTTTAGAAACGTAGTAAGATACATATACCAAATGTTACATAACACCCAGCCGAATCGTAGGGCACTCATAATTAAACCTATTACCACTTCTGTAGCAAAATATGTAAGTATTCATAGGGCACTACCACTTCTGTAGCAAAATATGTAAGTATTCATATCAAATAGGGCAAATGAAGATTTTTGAATAGCTTTATTTCAGTTCAGGTTTTTGCCCCTGAATGAGTTTCGTACTTAACTTCGGATAAACTTTTCTGTTTTCTGAGCTTTTTAGATTTTGGAGTTGTGGGTGAGAGGCTGAAGAACTACTTGTTTAGGGGATACAGGGATACAAAGGTAGGCAGCTGATAATCTAGTGGCATAGGCAATTAAAGATTTAAAATCATTTTGATTTTAATGCCTATGGTGACAGGATTAACAATTTTAGCAGGAAGTTGATTCTTTCAGCAAAAATGACACTCCCCAAACAAATAAGTAGCACAGTATAATAGAAATAAGTTGAAATGTGTACTGATCAACTTATTTTAGAAGGTAATCAGTGTTTGGGATGTTATGAAACTATTTCCCAAGGTAGCTTGGATTAGAGTAAGAAATAAAAGAACTAGTGCTGTGGTCTGGAAAAATCAGAGGATAATTTTCCTGTTTTCCTTCTTAGTTTTGCCACCATGAATCCCATGGGTAAACTGAGTGGTCAATTACTTCACAATAGTCACCTAAATGGATTGCTACATTTGTTTCTTCCTCCTACATAATTTTAATTTCTAAGTTCTACTTTCAGAGCCTTTAAATTTAAATGTTTTCCATTTCAAACCTCACTTTCTGATTTTTTTCTGGAAGAAGTACTGAAATAAGTTGTAAAGAAATACATTAAATCAGGATGGAGAAACTTTGCAGCGAGCCTAAAATTATTGATGGCTTTTGATTACCTAGAGACAAGGTTTAGTAAATAATTACATTAACAATAATAATGGTCTTTGCATTTACACAACGGATCTGGGGTAGGGGAGAGAGAGAAGAAAGAACATTGGGTCATTTATACCTAGTTCTTGCTCCTAATTGAGCAGAAAATATTTACTGCAAGAAGAGCTAGAACAAAGGCTATTTTGACCTTTATCAGTCATAAATCCTCCTGAAATACTGTGACAACACCGCATCACAGCACAAGACCTACTTACTACCTTACTTGTCTTCTCAGCAATGACTGTCCAATGGCCCTTCACCTCACTCAGAGAAAAGCCAAAATCCTCACAATGGCCTAAAAGGCCTCATGCCATCGGGCTCCCGGGAGCCTCTCTGACTTATTCCTTTACTCACCTCCCCTCTGGCCATGGGCCTCTTCGCTGTTCCTTACAGGTGCTAGACGGGCACCTCCTCAGAGCCTCTGCGCTTGCTATTCCCACCGCCCAGAACACTCTTCCTTCCACGAACCACCAGCACTTGCGTAACTTCCCTCAAGGTTTGCTCAGATGGCCTCTTCCCAGTGAGCATCTTCTCTGACTACCTCATTTAAAACTATACCCCCATTCTGAACTCCCTGCTGTAATTTTCTCTAGAACACTTGCTCCATCTAATGTATGACATTTGTGGTCTGCCTCCCCTCACTGGAATAAATCCCTAGAGGGCAGGGAATTTGTGTTTTCAGGGCCTAGAACAGTGTTCAGGACGTCGCAGGGATTCAGTAAATATTTGCTGAATATTTGTTAAGTGGTAATAAAGCGATCAATGAGAAAAATAAAAAAATTTACAGATTGAGCCTAGGAAATTTTGTAAAATATGAGGGAAAAAAAGAATACAATTTAAAAATGGTCTTTAAAATTTCAAAATTTTAAAAATTAAAAAGGAAATAGAAGACATATCTCTGGAATATTTTTTTTTTCAATTTAATTTTATTCACTGCCAAAATAAGGAAATAGGTTAGCATCATGATACAATCCTTTAAAGGGGATAGGTGAGGCCAACTGATAACCATCTGAGGAAACAATAAAAGAGAACAGTAAATTATGCTGCTGGGGTATAGACTGAAATAGTCAAAGAAACAAGCAGGCTCTGAAGAAGAAACTGCTTTAGAGCAAACAGACATGTGCACAGAGGGAAGAGTGGGGGGATTAGAGTGAAGACAGGAGGAACAACTGGGAATGGAAAACTGAACCTCAGAGGCGGAGCATGGTAATGTCAACACGAAGAACAGAAATAACACAGAGCAGAAAAACACGGCTGGAGCAACAGCAGTGGTCAAGGTCACCTCAAAGTCTCCAAAGACTTAAGCTGGGAAGGAGCTTCCTATTTTTTATGACCAAGTGTGAGAAGGCAACCTTCTGACGGTTCAGGTTTGCAGAAATGAAACCAGATATATACCTTATAGAGCCATACGAAAAGGGAGTAAGCTAATTATGATACATTTAAAGTTAATGTGCTTCTACTGATCTTCAAGAGTCTCTGTAGTACAGTGGAAATAAAATCACACAGGAAGAGCAAGGACATTCAAAGAGAAAGAGGCCAACTGTGGTCTGGGAGCACAGGACACTCCTGAGGGCAACAAGCTCTGTCCCAGCAGATGAGTGTAAGCAGTCTGGCAACCTGAAATGACAGAGGCCAAGATGACACAGATGGCATCTGCCAAACTGAGTCTGTTCTCCTCAAATTCCCTGCAATTTATTTATTTATTTATTAGAGATAGAGTCTTGCTTTGTTGCCCACTCTGAAGTGCAGTGGCATGATCACAGCTTACTGTAGCCTCATGTTCCCAGGCTCAAGTGATCCTCCTGCCTCAGCCTCCTGAGTAGCTGGGACTATAGGTGCATGTTACCGTGCCCAGCTAATTTTTTAAAAAAATTTTTAAAGTTTCTTTGCAGAGATAAAATCTCGCTATGTTGCCCAGGCTGGTCTTGAACTCATGGCTTCAAGCAATCTTCCCGCCCTGGCCTCCCAACGTGCTGGGACTATAGGGATGAGCCACTGTACCCAGCTGCTGCTGGCGATTTAAAGAGGTGGCTGCTGGGGTAGAAAAGTTGGCTTATGATCAATATCACAAGCTAATCACGAATCTGTAGCATAAAAAGATAAGTTCTTATTGAGTATATTTAACTTACTTATGCTTGCCTGGAACTATGAGAAATTTCATTCAAGGGTGAGGGTCTCCATAAAGGTGGTGTTGAGTCTAATTTCCAAGAATCATTAAGTATGGAAAATGAAACCAATGAATGAGAAGAAATACATGGCAGGAGAAAGAGAGCAAGACCACAAAAAACAGAGGGAAAAAACCCTAGTAGTTACTTAAAAATCTCCATCAACAGGGTGCTAATAATTATCTAACCATTCGATGCAATACTATGCAACAGTAGGAATGAAGAATGAATTGGAATGATATGGAATACTTGCCAAGATGTGAGATTTACAGTATACTATCACTTGGATTTTAAAAAATGGGAAGATACATACACAAATATATTCCTGCATATATACAGAATATCTCTGAAAGGAAGCAACAGAAGCCAGTGTTAGTGGTGGCCATTGCTGGGTGGGGGGACCTGGGGGGACTAAGAAGTCGGGAATGGGACAGGTGCTTACTTCCCACTGAACATCCTCTGTGCCCAGCATACAGGAGGTGCTCATAAATATCTGTTAAATGAATGAAAGGAAAATGAAAGTTTCCCTATTTGGATCAGTTTTTAAAAGCTGTATCTTTCAGGATATTAGTGATGAATATGTGTCTATATGTACATGACTATCTAGATACACACATGGAGAATGGCTCCTATCTTTTATTTTTCTTGACCCCTTAATGACAAGAACTGCTAATGATTAGGGAAGCAATCTAGCAATTTGACAGGCAGTGCATAACTGCCCCCAAAGTCAAGCACTGAGAAGTATTAGAGCTCATTACCTCCCAAGGACAACTGGAGTCCTAAGAATTGTTCCTGCAAACATTTGGCTCTTCAGGATAAAACAAGGCAATCTGCAATAAAGGTCAGTTATGCTAGAATAACTACAGTTTTTTGTTTTTTTTTTTTAAAGTAGACTGAACAACAGGAGTCCTTAGAGAAGTTGAAAATGCCACTAAGTTTTTTAAAACTCTAAAATACTAAGATGGTGTGATTGTAGAAAGTCTTTCTTGGCAATAGAGTTACAACACTGGTTTATTGCACTACACATTTACAAGGCCTTTCACAGATGGTGTGATCTAAAAACCCTCACCTGCACCTACTAAATTACAGATCTTATAGAACTGTGCACTAAATAATGAGAAGTAGAAATTTCCACTGACATTCATAATTTCTGGAAATCCTGCAAAATTACCCATAACACGGTTAAAGAGGCTCACAGGACTCTAAGGCACTAAACATGGACTTTTATTAACTGAAGACATAAAAGGCTCACTCAGTAAAATCAATTTTGCATAATTATTCAACAAGAATACTTAATATCAGATTTTAAACGTGGGCTGTTTTTAATATGTTAAGCATGTTAAAATAACTATTTTGAAAAAAGACATTCTATAGTTAGTGAAAAATTGATCTAACTGTGATTAAAGGGAAACTGGGAGGTGTTGAGTCCTTGTTATAGTCTAGAATATGTGTTAGGTCTTTTAATTAAATCCTCACCCCAACTCTGCAAGTATTACTGATCCCCTTTTACAGATTTACAAAAATTAGGCTTGAGGAAGTTAAAAAATATGCCTAAGTCTACACAGCCCAGATCTGTCCATTACAATTTGAAGCCATGACCTTCCTCCTTCATTCTCCTCTCAAAGTGGGGGTGGGGGGAATTATATACAAAGTTGCCCTAATTAATCTCAAATTATAATACCATCTCTGAATCTTAAGGAGAAAATAAAAAGAAAATAAAACTTGAAATAGAAATGGCTTGTCATATCCTAAAATTTCTATCACCATTTAAATGATTCTTTCAGCCCACTTATTAGACAGAATTCACAGAAAATTAGTTCTCATTTGAAAGCAAAAGCAGATTTTTATATTTGAATTTGCCACTTACTATCCATAGGATTCTGACAAATCCAGAAAGGCTGCCGGACACTTGTTTGGAGAACGTGCAACGTGTGTCCTCCTCCTCCTGCTCCTCCATTCCCACCAAAGGATTGGATCTGATGGACATCGTTTGCAAGTTAGAGGCAGCAGAGGGAAGAACGGGGCTCAGTGGCACTAGGTGTCACTGTCTAACCCAGTGTTTTCAAACTGTTTCACAGTGCAGCTAGCATAAGCAGTATTAAGAGATGAGTACACGAGACAATTCTCTAGATAGCTACAAACAACTCACTTCCTGATTTCCACTGGCAGAACCAAGGCCTGCTTTGTTCCTTCTGAACAAAGTTGTTCCTGCCTGTCTGGTAGTTGGTTTGGGCAAAGTTCCATTATTCTGTCTGTTGGGGCCCACAGGCCGACTGCTAAGCATGCAGGAGGGAGCAGGCAGAGAAAGAGGAGTGTCCCTGTTCTTGAAACAGGTCCCCTGGATCCAGGCTCAGAATAGCTGCCAAGTCTTAGCCACTAAAGAGCCAAAACTTTTAGGTGTTGTTTAGGTTTTAACTTTATTAAACTGAAAAACCCTATTTTCAATTTTATTTGTTGGCATCCCTGTTCTCCTTCCCACTTGGCTTTCAAATAATAAATTACAGTCGGGGTTCAAACTGTTTCCCAAGATGGTCTCTTGATAAAATAAATATGGTAAAACCCTGGGGAAGTCTAGGATAAAAGAAATGTCTCATAACACAAGGGAGCTCAACTTAATTTTGTTGAAAAACCTATAAACACATTTAGCCATTGCCCACCATCTCCCCAAGCCACTGTCCAGGGTCTGCAGCAGTCAGAGTCAACAAGAATTTATTGAGCGCTGACTGCAGAGCATGCACTATAAAATGTGCTGGCAACAGGAACAAGTGTTCTTTTGTTTCTAAGGACTCAGGACGTCAAATATCATTTCTATTCCGTGTATCTGCAGCAGGAAGACTTCCTAGATTCATCATATCTCTGCCTCAAATTTCAGGAAATTTGAGATAATACAAAGGAAACAAGCACATTCCCCATTGGATACTTTCTATCCTGAGTCTAGTTTGTCCATTATCCTGAGCACACCTCTCCTGTTCTGCTCAGCGATGCTCTTAGCTAACTCTCCTCCCTTTCCGTAACAAAGCCAGTGACATGCAGGCACCTTTCACTCAGTACAGGCCTTTGAGAGCTGTCTTGCCAAATGGTTCTTTCATCACCAAACAGTTCTTTCATCATTTCCTAGCTTAGCAGGGAAACTCTCATTTTCTGAGGAGCTAAACTTCTTTATCAATATTGTTTCTTTTAACATCATCCTAATGACAGGTAGCATTTTATGTGTCAGGTACTGTACAAAATACTGTACATGCATTATCTCATTTAATCCCCACAGTAACCTGAGTTAGGAATTACCATTACATCTGTGTTATAGTTAAAGATTTCTAAGCTGCTAAGAAACAGTGCTGGAACTCAAATCCTGGCCCAGTTGACTCCCGGGGCGCTTCCCACTTCTGCATGCTGACTGTAAGCTGTCAACTCTGGTTATGGCAAACACCAGAGTCTCTGGTAGAAAGGTCATGGGTTTGGGGTTTAGACAGATTTGGTTTCAACTTCTGGCTTTGTCATATACTTGTGGCTTTGGCAAATCACTCTCTGTGCCTAAATGTTACCATCTATGAAATGGGCCTAATAGTGTCTGGCAAAAGTCACTGGCAGGACTAAATGAGAAAAATACCCATAATGGTGCCGGGGTACCACATGTTAGATGATCAGCAGATAGATATTAGTTTTCTACTTTCTCTTGCCAGAAAGTATGAGGTTCCTGACATTTATTTTTGCTGGGGGGAAAAAGGCCCAGATCCTGAATGTTCATCACACGGAAATAGTTCTGAATCCTTAAACTGGTGTTTCCACTCTGAGGCAAGGAAAGGGAGAAGAAATGGCTATTACTTGTGCTGGAGCTCAGAAAACACTACCACAAAATGAAGGCTTCTGAAGCAGAAGTTTCTCTCTGCCATTCTTCTGCCCTCCTGTCTCTGGCCACTCAATCTCTCCTGAGGCTAGGCATGGAAACTAGACTCCCTCTTCCACAAGGTAAGGCACAGAAACCAAAACCCCTTTTCCCTAAAGCCAACTATAAATCCTAAACATAATACTCGCCCCCCACCGCTTTCTGTGAATAAACTGGCCATAAAGAAATTATCTGACCTACCTCGTTTGAATATAGGTCCTAAGACCCCATTCCAGAGAGGGTCCTGCCCCACACTCGGAAGCACGCTGCACAGAGAGGCCAAGACGAATCCAGAAAGACAGGCCTTGCTGGGTTTCCCTACTCAGTCTATTAGCAAAAGATCAGACCCTTTTTGTCCAATCATATTTCTACACAACTGCTGATGCTTTGTTGAACCTATAAAAACAGTTTCCCCTATATCTTTAGGTCTTCATTCTGAAGGCTCTTGTGTCATTTGCAAAACAATTGACTAGATGAAGTTGTATGCCTTCTCTCCTATTAATCTGTCTTTTGTACACTGATTTTCAGTGAACCTTCAGAGACTGCAGGGGAAGTTTTCCTTTGCCCCTACTCTTATAAATAATGCTCCCAGTAAAACTGTATTTTTTCCCTGTGCCTCTCTCCTGACATCCACTTTGGCAGCTTGACCTTTCCTAACATTGGATCAATCTTTTCAGGTTCTTTTACTTCTGTATTTCAGTTGCCAAAGTGCTAATTGGGTTAACCATTCAATGTGAATAGGAGTTAACACATGTGCATTCTAAAGAGCTGTTTTATGGGGACACTCCTTCTCACTGTTGTTTATACTGAGTAGTGAGGCCAACTGTTGCTCCTAAACCTAGCAGGAAAGGCAACTACCCTAGTAGATTTCAGGAAGTAGGGGTGAGTGCAGATCTCGGTGGCCCTGTGAGGAGGGATGGGGCCTAGAGTAGAGCTAGGGACACCTGCCTCATCTCTGGAGGGCAGTGAGAGCAATGGCTATGTGATTTCTCAATTTGAAGGAAAATATGTGGGCTCTCACAGCAGGTAGGGGCTGGGCAACCAGAACTTTGAAGGTACTTCCTTGTAGATTTTAGTATTTTGCTGAGTACATCATTAAGAAATAAGTTTAAGGTAGCTTACCTATAGAAAGAAAAATGGGTACCAAAAGGAAAACTATAGTTCATAAAATTAAATAAATTAGATATGTAAATACAGTAGTCCTTCAGTATCCATGGGGATTGGTTCCAGGACCTCCCGCAGATATCAAAATCCACAGATGCTCAAATCCCTGATATAAAATGCCCTAGTATTTGCCTATAACCTATGTACATCCTCCCTTATACCGTAAAGCAGCTCTAGATTGCTTATAATACCTAATACAATGTAAATGCTATGTAAATAGTTGTTATACTGCATTGTTTAGGGGATAATGACAAGAAAAAAAGTCTGTGCATGTTCAGTATAGATGCAATTTTTTTTTAAATATTTTCAGTTCACGGTTGGCTGAACCCATGGATACGGAGGGCTGACCGTATATCATGAAGGAAGAGGAAACAAGCATTATATATGAAAGAATTTAAAAGCCAATTACCTAAAATATTAATGGCAGTAAAAGAAAAAAATAACATAATGTGGTTTGTTAAATTCAAGTAACTAATTATTCTTTTGGAGCCATATAATATCCCAAATGAAAGGTACATTTAAAAAGCTTTATTATTTAAAATACATTTTAATAACTCTCAATTTCAATGAATTTCTTCTTCATTTTAATTTTTCCCCTTTTATTAGTTCTTATTCTGGAAGAAATTGTTTTTGATTTGAAGTGCTTCTGATGAAAAACAGTTGAAAACCATAAGAAATCCTTTTTTGTTTTAAATACATTTAGAAAGATAAAGTTAAGTTGTTTACCTTCTTGGCAAAAATGATCTGTCATATGCATAAGATTTTATTCATTATTATAAAACATTCGAGTCAGTATCTTTACCCAAATCTAAAAGTGACTGAGTAGCATAAAGAGTTAACTAAAGAGCTAATGACTTCCCAAGGACACTAGTCAAGAGAAATGGAAATTTCTGAAGGCTTTATTAACCTCATGCTCTCATTCTTTTTGTTGTTCATATTACTAGAATTGTTAATATTCAGTTGCATCCCACAGTTGAAATTTAGACCCTGATAACTAACTTCAACATGGGATAAGCGGCAGATTGTTTCACTTGAGGGCTTATTCCCGTAACAAATACCTGCGCACACTGTCTTTCTGGGAATCTCCGACATTTCCCGCGTCAGCTGTATCTCGACAGGACTGGTAAACACGGAGGCATCTCCTGCAAAAGAGCTTTGGTGAGCTGCACAAATGTCTCATGGTAAGAAGTCTTCCCCTAGCGAATTAAAAATGGGCCCCTTTCTTCTTTTTAAATTCTATTTTCCAATAGCAGTTGGAACAGTTAAGTATCTGGGATGACTAACAAGATGACAGTTGGTGAAGAAAACCTTTTCCTTAGTGGGATAAACAGAAAGATAAGGTTTCAACATCAGAATGTGTAGTCAGTTGGAACAATTAAACTAGGACACGTGTTGGACATTTTTTGCCTTTGGTCAAAACACCATGACTATGAAACTGAAGTGGTAAAGATCACGACATTTCAACAATAACACAGTTAAAAGTAAGGGGCTGGAATCACAAAGATATTATTTTTATACTGTAATTTCAAAAGTAGGTTTACTTTATCTAGCAGAGGCATTTCTGAGGAGTGTGCAAACTTCATTTTAAAAAATGAATTAATTGTTCCACTGCTTTATGGTATAGTTCTACAGATGCTTTATCTTCACATCTGATTTATCTTCAACTCACAATGATTTAGAATATTTTTGCTGTAAGTTTTTCTATACCTCAGCTTTTGTGTCAAATAGTACACGATTTGTAAGTACAAATGCAAAGGGTGGACAGCCATGGATCTCTAAGAAGTAAAATATTCCCTTCTTATGTGGATAATCACTCTCTGACACTTCTGGTAATTCTTGACTGTTACTTATTTTTTTAATCAAGGCATGTCTTTCCTTAACATAGAGAGACCCCTGCAACACTGATACTCTGAAGAATTAAAGAAAAAG